GGAACTTGTGCATGAGCCAGATGTTGCAGGTGTAATCCAGGTGTGTTCCTGTCTGTATATGAGCCCGCTGTTTCCGGTGCACTGATCCATATTGACACAGTATTGTAGAAGCCCATGCTGCGTGTGTGGTTATACTTCGCTCCATGTGATTGATGAAGTGAGCACTACGCTGAGAAAAATTTCTTTCAGGCCAGTGTCAGCATCTCTCCCTCAGATCTTACAAGCTGGCAGGCTCACTTAGGGATGCTAAACATAGCTTTCGTTTTCCTCTTGTGTCTAGACCGAGGTTCTCAGTCAGAACCCTGCGCTGCGGTTTTCTGTTCACTCGGGGGGAAGATTGAACCCTAATTCTCATGCCTCCGAGCCAGCGGGAAGTTTGTTTAGCTTGCAGTATTGTGAAGTACCTGTGAAACTGCCCTCAGCGTGGAGTTCAAGTTTAAGAGTTCAGCTGGTTTTTGGAGGATGGACGGCTGATGAATCACTCATTTTTGGGAACAAGAGGTCATGTTTCCACTACTTTGAATAAAAGTAGAGTTCTTTTTTTGTGGGGATTTCAAACTTTTTATTGCACCTTTTCTTCTCTTTTCAAGGATACCTTTATTGAATGTTGTTGGTAAAGTCTCACATTTCTAAAAGTCTACTCTGAGATGACTAATCAAGCTCGGCAGTTGGGATCCAGTGGTCATGTTTCAGCTATTACACAAAACAACGATCTTGTAGAATCTTAAATTCTTCATAATCGGTCGTCTTTCTTTTTGTCTATGAAGGAAAAAGTAGAATTCCCTATTCTGCAGTGAAGAACAGCACTGAGAAATGACATGATTAGATTGTTACTGATGCATGAATATCTATTTTGTTACTATAGGGTTGAGTGTGAGCCACTTTTCAGTCATTTATTTCAACAGAAGTCCATTAGACTCCAACAGGACACCGCTTCCTCTAAAATGTTAGCATCGAAAAAGTTCTCATCGAAACTTTATACCCTGCTCTGATCTGTGATTTTAATATGTTTGTCTGACTTACATTTTTGGAGCCTTAACAAAGTTCGGAAACCATTAGAGGTGATTAGTTGGGAAATGTCTGCTTCAGGTCAAATCTATCAACAGCCTTTTCTGTTTGACGTCACGAGAAGACTTGGCTTGTAATCACACGTTCAAAAGATCCACAATGTGTTATTTTTCTCATAAAATCCGACTTTTTTCTTTACCTGTAAAGTAGCAAGTGACTTCAAAAATCAAAATGAGTATGTTAAATGTCAAAAGTTCTTCTGGAAAAAAAACGTGTCTTCATTTGCATACTGACTAGTGAAAAGGTAACTTTATCACGTTGCTATTCATTTTCACTGAGTTGATATCACAGCATTCATCCTTAAGATGTTGGAGTCCTTGAATGATAACATCTGCGTGTCTTAATGTCAGTTTGCAGCCAAAGAGTGAGTCTCAGAATACCTTTGCAATATCTCTGTGTTCACTGGAGCTGTTGTATTTCTGTGACCAGTGAAGTATTTCCACGGTCATAGTCGGACGTATTCATTCTTAATTTGTTCTTCCAGTTTGTATAGGTACTTTTTTGGTCCCCTGTATTTTTTTTTTTTTTCATAGGGTTTGGGAAGAGATGTGTCATGATTTTTTTGAGAGAAACAGTTTGCTTGTGGCTGCATTTTTGTTGTCATCAGGCAAGTCCCTGCACTGCAGCTTGGGCCTGCCCGACTGGAGATTCTTTAGGAGGGAGATCTCTTTCTTCTCAAAGCGTCTTACCGAGAGCTATTAATTATTAACCGGGAGAGCTAACATCAAAGGCGCAGACTAGTGCTGAATTAAATGGGGGCTGGAGCCTGGCAATGTGGAGCTGAGAGAGAAAAAAAAAAAACTGGGTGAGAGGGAAAAGCAGAGCAAAGATTTTCTCTGCACTTGCTTTTGAACTTTTCTGAGTCCCAAAAAAAAAAGGAAGAGGTGAAAGAAAAGAGCGATGTTAGTTTATGTAAAGGAGGCCGGGCAGGAGAGAAAGTTAGAAGAGCTTGTATTTAAAAGTGTGTTGCTGTGTTTTTTTTTTGTTTTTTTTTTACTGTTGGAGTATTTGACAAGGCTTCGTTTATACTGCTGGGAAAGCTTGAGTCAGTTTGCGGGGTTAATTAGGCTTTAATGAGCTCTGAAAGCCTGATTCATAAACATCTTATCTGTGGATTAAACCAAGAGGAAACCTAATTCAGACTCAGCTGAAACACTTCAGAGTCAGGCTGTGGTGAATTTTCCTGAAGCTGATTTACTCTCAAAGCTGAATTAAGAGTGTGGTACGAGTCACAGCCTTTTATATTAAAGCGCTCATGTTGGCTCGGCCCTGCTGTGACTCGTCCACACAGCGGTAGACCCTCCAAACATACCTGCAGCCAAAAACACCCTGGAAATAAAACATGATCTATATGAAGTGTCACTGTTGACTTTCTTATTGATTCTGAATCATTCAGATTGTTTTTTTTCTATGAAGGAAGAAGAAGACTGCTCAATATGCTTCTATTGTTCAAAGTACAGACACGTTACCTCAGCTACACACTACACACGGCGGCTTCTTGGAAAGCTAATGTTTATTTAGTCTCTCACCTCTTTAGACAGACTCATAGTAAAGTAAGGGAGTTAAAAAGTAATGTACGGACAGTACTGCAAAGGTGTATTTAGGATACTATAACTGCTTATAGTTTACCTGAAATAACCAAAATCAACAGATAATGAACATATTCAAGTACATCAGCTGATTAACACTTCAAATAAATATGCAATCTGATTTGTGGTCAAGGAGTTTAAAGCAGCGAGAAACAAAAATGAAGTTGTAGCATTGTCTGAGCTCTGACGTCAGGAGAATGAGTGAAGCAGCTACGACACGGGGTCTGAAATAACCTCATGTAGTCAAAGAATCTCAGTCAACAAACTGTTCGAGGAATAGTAGTTACAAGTTCTGCAGAAATGGTGAGTTTTTATAGATAAGTTATTGATGCAGATTATTTTTGCAGCGTCGGCTTTGACGTTTCTTTATGAATTTCCAAAGCTTTGGGGTTTTGTCTTCGGTCAAGACAAGTCCCGACTATGAAGTTAAGTTAAGTGACAACCGGCGCCAGTTCTTCCTCTTTTCTTTTCACATTTTGAAGGAATACAAAATAAACATGAAGCTAAACATAAGCTGTAGCCCTTTTCACATAGGACAATGAGGTAGCTAACAAAGTTATAACAGACACGCATGTGGGCGACAGTGAAGGAGAAACAGAAGGATGGTTTCATGAAAGAAACCAGGAGTCCCTGATTGGATATCGCTGTAATTTATCAGATTCACCAGGACACCATTTTTTTTTGAGCTGATGAATTTTGGACTCACAGGTGGCATCGAACTCTGCACCGACTAATGAGGGAATGATACTTGGGAGAAAGCTGTTTATTCCAGTGACAGCAGGGACCCTGTTCTCTTAGCTGATGATAGACCTGCACTTTCCTCTGACTTTTTGTAAGACTTCATCTGTTGGTTTTCAGCAAATCAAAGTGATATACAATTGTCAATGGTATCAAAAACAGATGGAGACACAGAAAATGTAATAATAAAGTAAATATAAGTTATTGTTGAATCGATATATATATTTTGTACAGAGAAATCTCCCATCTGAACTATCTCCTCGCTCGCTCTGATTTGACACCCAGAGGCTTTCCTATCGGCACTTTATTGTAGAGTGCAAGATTCAATAATTACAAAATCTTACATTTACTTAACAATGGTACAAAGTGATTAAAGGAATAAAAAAAAATGAAGTTGTGTTTAAACAATAAAACGCATTATTTTTTTTGGATGGGTCCAGCTGTTACTCGAGAATCCAACAGGTTTCGATGTGTTTGCGGTGTACTGTGGCAAAGCCCTCTCTCTTTTCCTGCTTTGGCAAAAAAAAAAAAGATCTACCGGTACTCGACATCAGTGAGTTGCTATCTCTGAAATCGACATTACGAGTTGTGAAAAGAGCAATTCTGACTCGCCCGCACATACCACCACCACTCTCTCTCTCTCTCTCTCTCTCTCTTTGTGTCCTCTGCAAGTGCCCGCTCTCTGCTCCTCTGACACTCTTCAGCCACTCCAGCAGAGTCACAGCACTGTACATTGTCACTTTGATCTTCACTCCACCCCACCCCTTCTTCCTGCAGTTATGAAGAGTGCTGGCAACAACCCAAGGGCACTTGATAATACCAGGATATGATCCCAGCTGCGCTATTTTAGATCATGTAGTGCAGACATCAAAACGCTGTCTAAATAGGGCGCCATGAATCAAGCAGGGTGAGAACGGGTTGTAGGGCAAAGCAGAGTAGAGTTAAGATAAAGGAACTTTATTTTATTTTCCCCCCCCCCCCAGTAGAGGGGAAGCCAATTTGGATTCTGCGTGGAGATACTCGGGCTTCTGCAGATCCAAGCATTTCCTTTATCTTTTGCCTTTAGCAGAAGTCTTCAAAAGAGCTCTGTGCTGCTGACTTTCCCTGCTCGCAGATGAAAGAAGCTCACTTTTTTTTCTTTTTTTTTTTTTAAGCAGCTGGAAATCCTTGATAACTTGATTCAACTTTTCCTGAGCGTGCACGCCAGAATTCAATTCAGAATCCAGCTCAATGTCATGCAGAGTTGCACATTACGTTGCATGCATCGTCTCTTGACCGAGGGATGAAGTTGTTTTTGTAGCATCCTGAAAACTTATGAGAAATGGAGACACCGACCACATGTGCAACTTAGCAACCGTTTTTAATGCGTTGTTTACTTCTTGCCTGTTGCTTTTTGTTTTTTTTCCCTCATTTGCTCAATCTGGTCGATGTGCACGTGGTTGCAGTCAGGCAGAGAACTCCCTCTAGTGGCCGTATTTTAAATGTGAAAACTAAACCTTGAGAAACAGAGGTTGATGTTGAAACTGTGACTGTGTATTCCCGGCTTCTTCCTTTGACACTGCTCTTTTATTTATCTTATCAAGTCCCTTTTCTGTGTGTTTGCAGGCGAAGAGAGCGGTGCAGCGGGGAGCCACAGCCGTCATCTTTGACGTGTCGGAGAATCCGGATGCCATCGACCAGGTTTGTGCTCACCTAAATTCACCCAAAGTGTTTTAATGTCAGAAAAAAAAGAGTCTAAAGAGTGTCAGTGTGTCAGTGAAAGACGCTCCCCTTTTTTCACTTTTGAAGAAAGCTCAGGAGCAGCAGCGTGCCCTGCCCTTCTGACTACATGTGCTGTTTGTGCAAACAATGATCCGTCTATCTTTAGTTCTGCTCAAAAGCATGCGGATCAGCCTCCCTCATTCAACCATCCTGGGCCTTTTGAGCTCTTTAACTTGTGTTCCTGCTCTCTTTGAGGACTGAAAATGAATATCCAGGGTTCAGCTTTCACTAGACCATGACCGAACTCTCTCAGTTGAGCTCATAATTGCACAGGTAGCACACATGACCTCATCTTGAGACTATGGATCAGCCTTTTGTGCGTTGCATTTTGTGGGAGCGCACATAAGCTACAGTAAGAACAAAGTGCATTTCATTTCTCACACACCCAGACGCTCACATTCCTCCTCCTTCTACTCTTTTCTTGCTCCTGTGTCATTGCTGTTTAGAGGTATAATACAAGACTTTGCCTTTTGTCGCAAGAATTCTCCTGTGGTATTCATCCTTGCCACACCAGGCCTGGACTTGCAGGTTTTTTCTTTTTTTTTTTCTCTCTCGCTCTCTCTCCCTCGCCTCCTCTCCTCTGCCACTGGGTTGTAAAGCGCGTAGCTGAAAGATAAAAGGGATTGCGCAGAGACCACATGAAAGGCAGCGCTGGGCGGCTGTGTTAAATTCCCCCGAGAGGCTTTTCCAGTCAGAGCTGCCCGATCAGCACAGACAGGACCCACAAGGCCGAGGGGCAGGGAGGAGGAGCCTGGGGAGAATTAAGGTCCCGGGACCAAAATTAAGAGGAAGCTTCATGAAGTTAATGTCCTTGACCTCCTTTTTTTTAACCCTTCCATTAATAACTTATGTGAGGTTTTGTTTGAGGAAAAGTTTGTGATTCACTTTTTTTAAACCTGTTGAAGACATTATAGGTTTACTTTTAAACGGTACATTGTTTATGAAAGGCTAAAGTCTTAGTGGATTCATTTCTCAAAGCAAGGAGAGATCAAAAGTCCCAGAGTCTATACTTTTTAAACCAGAACATAAAGCGTTCACTGGGGAACATGACGACAGAAGAAGAAATAGAAATGTGAATATCCTCGGTATTTCCCTTGGGCTTTTCAAAATTACAGATTCCAAGCAGCAGACGAGAGGGAGAGGAGGAATAAAGGAGGAATAAAGGAGCATGTCAACTCCCTCCCTCCCTCCTGAGCTTCCTCCGACAAACCCCGACCACAGTTTCCATGTCTTCAGCTTTGAGGTCATTTTCTCCTGATGGTACAAAAGTGAACACAAGGAAGAGGTTCCCGAAACTTTTCCCAGAGCGACCCCCTGAAAATGAATCTGTCTTTTCCGTGACATGTTGTCGTATTTTGTTTCATCTATCCCCTCTAAGAACATCAACAATCAAATCATTTTCAGCCGTGTGCGTCATTAAAAGCCTTCAGTGTAACGTTCACACCACTGCCTTTCAAGTGTTCAGTCTTTAGTCAAAATGATGAAAGGCTGTTTTCCGCCATGCCTTTGTGTCTGCCCTCTGATATCAAAGACGCAGAACTCTGATTATCTGATGACACTTTGATTTTCATGTTTCATTTTTTGAAAGATTTATTTTGGGGCTTTTTAAGCCTTTTATTTAGAGACAGGACATTAGATTGAGTCAGAATTTAGGGAGAGAGAGATAGTGGGGAATGAAATGCGGGAAAGGATTTGAACCTAGACCGCCCACTATGAGGACTGCAGCCTTCGTACATGGGGCGCGCACGCTAACCATTAGGCCACCGGGCCGGCGCCGCTTGATAGTGCTTTTTGTTTGCATGTGTTGTTGTGGCCCTTGACTTCAGCTTTGTTCAATGAGTGATTTATGTCATCTTAACTTTAAACATGTAACTTTCACTTTTTGTCTGTTTATTTATTTTTTATTTTTTTGAAAAGTTTGAATACTACCGGGATAAAACGTTCTGTAGAGCCCAAGAAACACAACCAGAGTATGTAGAAGGTCAAAGAAAGGGTTAAGAAAAGTGTTACGTCTTGTTTCACAATCCTCTCATATCCAGTCTTATTTTGCTCATGAGGATGAAACTGACCTCAAGATGATGATGAAGACCTGTGCCTGATGTGTTCCTCTCTCTCTCTCTTCTCTCGTCAGCTCAACCAGGTTGCCGAGGATCCTCTGAAGCGGCCAGTGGTTTACGTGAAGGGCAATGATGCTGTGAAGTTGATGAACATCGTCAACAAGCAGAAAGTTGCTCGTGCGCGGATACAACACAGACCACCGAGGGTAAGAGCTCAAGCTGTGTGTGTGTGTGTGTGTGTGTGTGTGTGTGTGTGTGTGTGTGTGTGTGTGTGTGTGTGTGTGTGTGTGTGTGTGTGTGTGTGTGTGTGTGTGTGTGTGTGTGTGTGTGTGTGTGTGTGTGTGTGTGTGTGTGTGTGTGTGTGTGTGTGTGTGTGTGTGTGTGTGTGTGTGTGTGTGTGTGTGTGTGTGTGTGTGACTAATCGAAGGCACATGTGAAGATCATGAGGAAGAGGTGAGCATGTTTGTGAGGCCAATCAGTGCTGTGATGTTTTCTAGATGTGAAGACAAATGAAGAATTCCAGCTGTGAAATATGACCCTTTTTTTTTTTTTCTTTGACTCTCTGCCGCCCCGAGGCTAAGGTTCTTTTTTTTTTTTTTTCTGAAGCACTGCAGGAGATTAATATCAGCCATTCAAAGAACTGTTTGTTTGGAATATTCGATAAGAGACCAGCACACTTTGAGTTCAAATAACTTGACATAATGAAAGCCCAAGAGAAAGAACCTTCCAATGAGAGACATTTTTTTCCTGATGAAGAATAAAACCCCCTTAGGTTATTGGATCAGGATAGGATCAGTCAGTAGGATCTGACCTTTCAAGATGAAACACTGAAGTTACATCTGTTCTTTTTTCTTCTCTAGAGCTCTTCATTGGGGCAGCAACTAAATATAGTTTCCATTATCACTTCATCTGCCAGTATTTTTGGATGTAACAGCTTAGTTTGGGGAAAATTCAAAAACTAGAATCTGACGATTTGATCACTGATCTGATACTACTGGCTGTTTCACGCCCATTACAGATACATCAGCATCAGCATATGTTTTCTTTCATGTCCTGAAACCTCACCTTTTTTATTTACAGAATTGTTACTGTAATGCAGAAAACAATGCTTTTGGTGATTTAGGAATAATGTCATGTACTTGTTTGTCCTGTAGAGGACAACAATATTCTTCAACACTCTCAGTCCTCTCTGCTGCGTACTGTATGTAGGACAGTGTACATTTATCCAAGAAACCATTATATATTTAGAGTCATATATTTAGGCAAAAACACACAAAAATGTCTGTACTGTTTGATCTAAAGAATTCCCGATTTCTCTCGCAATATTTTGAACATGTCCCCTTTAAGATCCACATTTGTTTCAGCCTTGAAAAATCTCATGTCTGTTGACTGTGTGTAACACACTTCAGTGTCTTGGCCTCTTTCCCAGAGTCAAACAACACTGACTGTTAAGTAACCGACCTGTTTAAGTTGGCTTCCCTTTAATGTCAGGGCAGGGTTGGTGTGACTGACACTTGGTTGCTGTTTGCTTTATGTGTTCATGAATATATTTTACACTGTTAGGTGTATGTATTTGATGCTTTTAGATTTCCTTTGTAGTTTTTTTTGTGTTCATTGTATTTGTGAACTGTTGTCTATTGGAAGGCATGTAGTAAAACAAGAACTTAAAATATGAAACTAAGATAGAATGACTTTAGGGAATAATCAAAAATGTGTCCATCCAAAAAAGCATCACAAATAATGTGTTTAAGTTCCTTTTTTTTTCTTTTATTAACATAATAAAAATCCAAAAGAGTCAGATCATGGAGCGCTCTGTTCTGCTGAGCAGCTAACAAAGCTCTTCATTCTAAACAGTCAGTGAACGAATTTGACATGTTACAGCAAAGTGACCCTTTTAGTAGCCACTTTCACCAGCTGCATGTGAAGATTATTTGACAAATATTGTGTGTCTGTCGCCCTCCTTTTCCACAGCAGCCCACGGAATATTTTGACATGGGCATCTTCCTGGCTTTCTTCGTGGTCGTGTCCCTGGTTTGCCTCATTCTGCTCATCAAGATCAAGCTCAAGCAAAGGAGGAGCCAGGTGAGTGTCTTCACACACACTCATCACCACCACCACCACTAAATGCAGGAGTCCGAACTGGCCAAACATCTATTTTTTTGTGATCCAAGTTTGAGTCTCAGAGGAGCCTCTCGCACAAAACACGCCCCAAAAACACTGGCATTTAGTCAGGCGGCGGTAGTACTGCTGTTGATTGATTCGTCTCGTGTTGACACAAAGCTCTCGGTGGAGGCTTACGTCAGGGCTGCGTGATCAGGATAAGCATTTAATTAACGCTGATGAGAGGTTTGCTGCAGGAGCCAAAGGCGCAGAAATGTTGTGACAGAGCAGGAAAAGAGTAGCAGCATCCGTTAAAAGAGGTGTGTGTGTGTGTGTGTGCGTGTGTGTGTGTGTGTGTGTGTGTGTGTGTGTGAGTGTAAGAGTGTGAAAGAGAGAGAGAGGGAGCGCAGAAGACTTTGCCGTGACTTCCTTTGGTGGTAATTAACAGCTCACACCAGAGGCAACTTTTCACATGTAACAACTGTTCCTTCCTGAAATGTGAAAAAAATGAAGCTGTGAAGTAATTATTGTTTATGAGGTATGAATATCTTGTATTTGATTAAACTACAAACAGCAGCAAAAACTTCAGGATTCATTTTAGGTGTTTTCTTCAAAGACTACAGTTAGTTACAGACTTGGGTCAATGATTTTCAAGTCCTCATTTTTAATGTTTGTCAAAACAGAGAATTTTGGAGGAAGGCATCAGGGAAAAAAATAGAGGGAGATTTTTTTTTTTGCATGTGAAGAATAGATCTAGAGAATATAGTCTGACTTTCATTGTTAGTGCCTATGGTTAGAAAAATAACTCGGATCAATGTCTTCAATTCAATTTTACATCAGCAACATTTAACATCACACTGATCTTTGCTTCAAACATCATCCCTGAGCTGTCATCCTAACGTCACATTTTGGCTCCAGTGTTAGTCAGCCTTTATGCCAAATTCTACACAGCTTTTAAAATAAAGGTATTTTTTAAAAGTGAAACACGACTAATCAAACCCTGTCCCACGTTCCCTCCACACCTCAGAGCTCCATGAACAGAATGGCCATCCAAGCTCTGGAAAAGATGGAGACGAGAAAGTTCAAGGCGAAAGGAAAGGGCCAGCGTGAGAGCAGCTGTGGAGCCTCTGACTCCCTGAGCAGCAGCTCCACCTCCGACTGCGCCATCTGCCTGGAGAAGTACATCGACGGGGAGGTGAGAGACACCAGGAGTTTAGGACTTTATCAATTTTTGTTCTTGATTGGGCTTTTTCATATCAGTGGTGTCATTCAAACATTTGCTGTAATGCTTGCCATTAACTAAATTGAGGTTGCTGTACTGTGGAATATCGCTCCTACAATAAATAAAAAGGTTACCTGTAAAAATGATTGTTTAAAAAAAATCAGATATCAAGGTAAAACACTTTTTAAGTTTTACTGTTTTGAATTTTCTTGTAATTTTTTTTATTTGATTTTTTTACCATGAGCTTTTTCTGCACAGCGTTTGACTTTTTAAATGAAAAGGAGACAAAATGTTTGCAGCGGGAAGCCATTTTTTTCTTTGTTAAGACCTAAAAATGGAAACAAAATAGGTTTAAAATGTAGCAGTTCTCATTAATATACTTTTTTTTGTTATAAAAAAATTATTAAAAAAAACAAGGGTTATGATAGAAATGGATGACCATAGCAACAATTTACCTTAGACACTAACGTTTAAAGCTCAGTCCCATGTGAACAAAGTGGTGCTCCTTATATTTGCTTTTTAACATCCTGCTTTCTTTTTTTTTATCTGACTCTTACACCCCGTGGCGACCGTTTCAATCAGTAGAATTGCATTGTACAGTCATTGAATCTTGTCCATTATTGTTATAATGTTCAAATAGAGGCATGGGAATCCGTTTCAGTCTGTTCAATGAGCAGGTAAAACCTCCTCTCAGGGGCTTTAACTTAGGACACTTGCGTTGACATTGTTAATAGTACCGGTACCTGTTTGCTAAAGTCAACCACCCAGCAGCCAAAACTCTTAACTCTCGTAGCGTTAGTGTGGTGTGCGCTGAGCCTTGTTTCCTTTCCGTTCCATATTATGTAGACATGAAACATAATGCAACTTTGTGGACAATAGAATGGAAGTTCCCCTGATGTGCTCGGGGACTGCGGCCCTGCAATCTTCGGTGACGTTCTTTCCGGGCGCCTTTTTAGATGTTATGTTCAGTCTTTCAGAACACCTGGAGAGATAACGGTACCCAGACTGCACTGGGCTGTGATTATGCTTCCTGTTTTCAAACTGTGGCCTTCTTTAATCCTTAAAGGACTCATTGTCGAAATACGTGTCCTAATCTTGGACTTTTGAGGGTTTACTGTAACAGCATTGCTCATCCTCGACAGGGACTTTGAGGGGACAAACCCCAGCGCCTGGGGGGGAGCATAGCTGATGTATGTGTGTGCATTTCTTGTGGTTATGTCTCTCTTTGGGTAAAGAGGAGAAGAAAACACAACAAAGCATGGCGCCAGGATTGCACAGAGGAAGTGGCGTTATAAAAGGCTGAATGGCATCAAAGCTGTTTTTGAGCAGTGAACCAAGCAACAAAAGGTTGGGTGGAAAAGAGCCCAAAGATGAGTCACATTGAGCCAGAAAGTAGAGGTTTTTACGGCGGAGAAATGGCTCCCACTAGAAATAAAACAGTCTAATTCATATTCATAGTCCTCCTGAAAGCCAGTTCTCCATCTGAATACGAAGTGTTGCATTCTTTTCATATCTATCCTCCAGCGTCAGCCTCTTGTTTGTTTTTGTTCCTGAAAGTGGTGACATTGAGAGAGTCGTATTTGTGTTGTTGCGTGGAGTTAAAAGTGTTTTGTATGTGACATGCTGTACAGTTTGCTCTGCCAGAATTCATTTGAACAAATCCCCCCCCCCAAAAAAAACATCAACACATCTGACAGTTCGGTATATCTTTGCTGCCCCCCTCTGGGCATTCAGCCGCTTTCAAAAACAGAAAAGTCCACCCACTGAGAAATGGAATCCCTGTGTCATTTGTCATGTACATAATTTAACCTCTATTCAAGCTGACTTATTGACCCACACATTGTGAAACTCTATTAATTAATTAAACATATTACAGGATTGCTGCTTGAAGAAATAACAATTCATACTTTTATCAGAAATATGTTAAAGCACCAATCATTTCAAAATGTTGCATGGCAAGATTGGACAGTTTTTCCTAAAATATTAAAAAGAAATAACAGCAGAAAACCCTTACTCTACATTTGAGGTTATAAATAAAACAATGTATCAGTATTCATTGGAATTACTTTTAACATTTACATTTTGTATACGATACACAAACTAAAGAAAATATGTTTGATGAACTAGCTAACCATGTTTATATTTGTAGATTCTGGTAAAGGTCAAAGCTGACTGTTAACTCAAATGTTTTTGTTCCTACAGGAGCTGCGAGTTATCCCCTGTGCTCACAGATTTCATAAGAAGTGTGTGGACCCCTGGCTTCTCCAACATCACACCTGTCCTCACTGTAGACACAACATCATCGGTAAGTTCGTGCTCTAACTTTGACTGGCTGTTTTGCTTTGATGTTAAGATGTTTGTATGTAATAGAAACACTCATTAAACACATAAAGTGTTCCTTTGTTGACAAAGAGTGACTGTTTTTCCCCTTAAGTTTCTTTTATTGTGAAAAAATAAATGTGCTCTATTTTTCTTTCACAGAGCAAAAGAAGGGTAATCCAGGACCAGCTTGCATGGACCCTGGCAACCCAGTCCACAGCCGGCAGCGGGTGGTGCTGCCGGTCCATTACCCCGGCAGGGTGCACCGTGCAGGACAGGTGACAGCCTACCCCACCAGAACCAGCATGGACCCCCACGGCAACCCCATCACTGTACTTACTGTGGACCAGCACCCAGACCCTCAAGGTCTGTACCCATCCCAATCAACATCTGCCTTTCTCAGGAGCTACCACCCCACCCTCCACCTGGACCACTCACTTAACCCCCACCACTGTGGATTAGAGCATCGCGGACCCCCAGCCTACCCTTCACAGCCACATCACGCTGCTTTTAAGCGACCAAAATTCCATGGTCGTAACTTTTCCCGAGCCACCTGCTTCTCACAGTACGAGACTATGTACCAGCACTACTATTTTCAGGGCTTGACTTTCCCTCAGCAGCCTGAGGGGGGCCAGGGGCCTGCTATGGCAGGACAGCTTAGTGGAGGGGCCCACAAGGGCCATCACAGCAGGGCCTTTCAGCAGGGGCTGTTATACCCCACAGTGGTACATATGGCCCCTGCCTCTTCTTCGAGGATAGGTGATGCCGGCAGCGCTTCTGGTCTGAGCTGTTACCATGGCCATCGCTCGGTGTGCAGTGGCTACCTTGCCGACTGTCCTGGTAGCGACAGTAGCAGCAGCAGCTCAGGCCAGTGCCACTGTTCCTCCAGTGACTCCATGTTGGACTGTACTGAGGTCAGCAACCAGGGGGTGTACGGGAGCTGCTCGACCTTCCGCAGTTCGCTGAGCAGCGACTACGACCCGTACATCTACCGGAGTAAGAGTCCGTGTAGGGTCTCCACGGGTGAGGCAGGGGCTGCGGCTTGCACCACAGTCCCTGCCGAGGACTCATCATCCCCTGCTCCCTTGGGACACGACTGCCTCCAGCGCCCATCTGGAGCCTCAGGATATAATTCGGGGGACCACCTCTCCAACTGCAGCTTGGAGCCCAACTACAGCAGTCACTCATCACTGGAACCCAGGGAGAACAGCAACACTACCTCAGCCGGGGCTGCAGAAGCTACCGGAGTGGACAGGGGAGAGGGTGCACAGGAGGAGTCGGGGGAGCTCGGGGCTGCAGCCTGTAGCTGCTGCTTTGAGGTGCTTCCTCCAAATATGGAGTGCAAAGGGCAGGACTCGGACCAAGCTGGGCCTCTGACCACAGGACGCTTTCACAGGGGGCTGGACTTTCAGAGCTCCGCCTCCAAGAACTATTTTGCTCCTGAGCACTTGTGCCCTTCCTCGGAGCAGGTAAGCTATGAAAGGCTGCCCTGCTGCTTCTACAAAGAGATGAAGGTCCACAGGGCCGCAGCAGGGCGTTTCACAGAGGACTATGCGGTTAACGTGCAGTATGCAGACTCGGAGTCCTGCTCTGGACAGGGCTGCTGCGAACTCAACCAGAGAATACCCATAATTCCTGAGGACACAGACTGTGAATTGAGCACAGGGGCAGAGACCCAAAGCAGCTCGTTGCCCGCCAGTGTCACAGTGGAGGCGGCGTCACGGACAGGGGAGCGGCATGAGCCCAGGGAGGGGTACTTCTCCTCAGGACAGTTTAGAGGTCAGGCATACCCTCAGGAGGAGGAAACACGGGCTTTGTTCCACCCTCAGCTCTCTGCAAGCCCAACTGTGTTGGGAAGCAGTCCTTCAAAAAACGACAGAGGTCTGGGTGTGTGAACTCGAGCTCAGAGAGAAAGGACTCAGTCAGAAGGACGTGTTTGGTACCGTATCAGTCAGTCAATCATTGAAACCCTCAGCTGCCTTGTTCAAACCTAGCTCTCTGAGAGCTGAATGTTATCATCTTAGATTGTGTGGATTTCTACTGAAATGGCCTGTTATTTCTAGATATACAGTGTATCAAGTTCATTCCTGTGGCCACTAACATTTGAGCACCAAACAAGGTTACCATATTACTGGGGGGAAAAAAAGACCCCATTTACACCTGGTAATAAAATCGGATCTCTTTGTGGACCTCTTACCTTTATAAGGCAAAGTCGTGTAAATGCATCGTGGTCGTATAGATTGCAGATAAACCCCAACACATCTCGAGGTACTCTGGCTCACATTGTTTTTGGATGGAATGTAGGTGTAAATGCAATCTTTTTTAACGAGCTGGACTCCGTACCTATGTTTTAATTTTGCTCAGACCCCAGGTTTTTTCTGGAAGTACAAAGATCTGATATGAAAACATAAAGCCAATTCTGATAGTTTCTTACCGAGATAACAGCTCTTGATATAGATCACATTTAATTACCAGGTGTAAATGGTTGAAAGTTATAATACTTTCATGGATGGAGGTTGGTTTTTTTTGCATCTTTCTGCAGACCTTCTACAGCTATTGAGGTTTATCACCGAGTAATCTGGACAAGATACCTAGACTCCATCTTTTGGTGCAACATCCAGGAATCTGAGATTGGTCTCTACAAACACAAGAACACTTAATTCACAAACATATACATGTATTTATGCGCACATGAACACTGACTGCCTATAAAGCTTCTACCACCAACTCAAATAGGTTGTACGGACATAGCTATACCAAAACAGAAAGACATGATTGTTTGTTTGTTTTCTTTTTCTAACAGCAGGGAAATGGGTATCTTAGTGTTTGTGACTCACACATTTCTCTGAGGAGAAGAAGCTATTACAGAAAAAAATGCATAGAAATGTGAATGCAAGGCTGACACTGGTCTATCTTCAATATAATACTGAATTTGTTGTACGCATTGCATAATGCTGTCCAGAAGTGGCCTACCTGTATGAAATGTGCCAGAGCAACATTAAAGCCTTACGCTGATTAAGCTATTTGTAGCAATATGTAAAGACGCTGCACGGCTTTGGGTCTCACATAGACTGAAGTGGACAGTGTCTCGGGGTCAGTAGATTTCTTCAAAAGTAGAGTGAAGCACTCTACCTCTTGTTTGGAAGCCTTTAAAAAAGTATTTTTTGCTGTCACTTATCCAATTTCCCTCGATGTGGCGTGCTCTATTAAATATCTATTAAGGTTCTAGCATGTAACAAAAGGCCAAAGGAAAGTAGCTGGAAAAGACTCATTTTCATAAGGGTTCCTTTTTGTACTGTGACTTTTTTTTTTTTTTTTTATGATGCAGTTATACATACCACAGTGTATCCGTATGAATCATATCGTGCCATGCATAATACATACTCGCGATATCAATGCTTGTCATTCATGCCTTTCTGTTTGTCCTGCAGACTGTTTTTATACTGTTTCTATGAAATATACACATTCTGTTCACAGAGGAAAACCTTCTGAAATAACCCTATTTATAAGTTAACCCAGTGCTGTAATCAAGTGAGAATCTAATCTTGCCTTTTGCATAGAGATATGTACCTACTGCAAATATAACATTTTGGGGTACTTGAGTCACTATTTAATTTTTTTTTTCTAGCACTTAAGAAGATTAAAATGTGTACAAAAATTAATATTTTTTAATTTTTTTAAGAATATAATTATTTTGTCATTACCATTACAAATGTTTAAAAACGGCTAGAAATCAATCTGTGTATATTTCTGTACCTGTATAGCAAAACACATTTCATAAATGGAAATATGTTCTCTGAATATTTATTTACTAATATATTTATCTTTAAGCCATGTCTTATGTTCAGAGTGTATGAACGTTGGAGTTCTTTGGTTGCTTTTTATTTTGAAAAAAATCACTAACATGAGACTTTGTATATACATGGTAATTGCACACAAGACGATTAAATCTTCTCTGACCAAAAAACTGATTTTAAAACTTTAGTACCATACAGTTTTGTAATTAAAATGTACAAAGATCTGTAAAATATACAGTTTTATTCAAGTAACTGATGTGTTGTCCTCTTTTCCATTCCTTGCAGTCCACAATGAGCTTTTTCATTTGTTTACTAAAACTCAGTAGCTACCGGTAATAATTGTTTTATTCTTACTGTAGTAGTCATGGTTTTGCTGCAGTAGCTTAGAAAATAATTCAGTTAGATAGTGATTTCAAGTTTTAAATATTTTATTATTCATTTACAAAAAATATTCAAAAGCTTCTTTACTGATGATTTCACTCATGGCAAGTTGGCTTCATACCGACACCACAGGTTCTGAAATCTTATGTCAGCTGTTTTCCCATCCGCACATTTCTGGAGAATTTCCCTCAGACTGCCCCTGAATTCCACCTGATCTGGTTGTTCAGACATGCACCTTTATCAATGCTATGCTCAACAGAATCACAATATCGAAAAAAAGAGAGGAGAAGAACATGATGGAGAACAGATATCATAACCGTCAAGCGTGAACAGTCTGCGGTTGTTCTCCTGGACTTTCTGCAGAAAATATACCAGGGGTCTGGCAGGAGCAACTTTCATAAAGTCTGAGTGAAAAATTCAGTGCTATTATGAAAGCACCATAAGTGTGGTTGTTGCTTTCTTTACACTTCTATCAGTATTAAGTGCAGTTTTCAAAATTGATAGGTAAGCCGAAAACAGGGAAGAAACTTTCAATAAATACAGTTACTTCTGACTTTGTCATTGTGCAGAGAGGAGTCACAAATCTATAAATGATTTCTCAGCAGACAGTTTGTCCTTTGGGCAGAAAAGCCTGAAACTTAGAGCCAATCTTTTCTTAGTAGCTTTGTTTTTTTTACAAGGTGCATCTCACAACTTGAAACCAGAGTGGAGAGCCACAACGCCACCAGTGAGGTTGTAGTATTGTACACAGTAGAACCCTGCATCCTCAATCATTCCTTTAAACTCCTCCTGCACAAACAGAAAGCAAAGGAAAAGACACAGTCAGCTTTATGTTCAGTGCACAAACATACTTCTACCAGTTTGAAGATGTGGTTCTCAATCTTTTTCTCTATTGCCCCCTCAAGAGGCCACAAAATTGAATACCCTGAGAACAAGTCGGGCAGTATTTTATTGGAACAAATATTTTAGAAAGACTGCCCTTCTAGCATCACAGGTTGAGAAATACAAAGTGAAAAGTAGAACTGAAACATTAAGTTATTATCAATAAGTCGGCCAGCAGCTGATCTGCAAAACTTTAGATAATAAATTATTCATTCATACTTATTATTTATCACCAAAAAAAAAGGACAGTTCTGGTTGCCATGTCCATCCTCTACCCAGAGACCACAGCTGTCAACAGCTATATAGCTAACTCTGATTCAACAGATGTGTATGGCCCACACTAAACTTATAAACTAAACCTAAAGAAAAGTTTCAGATGTCTCTGGGCTACAAGGACGTGGTTGACATTGTGACTATAAAAAAAAAATCTGATTAATCATTAAATTATTGGAACATGACACTTCCAGTCACAAACTAATTATAAACAATAAATAAGATAATACTGCATGTCTTATAAAAACATCGCAATATGTAAAAAATATATCAGAGTGGCAATGATTTAAAAAAACAATGTCACTGATAAAAAACAAAACAAGAAAATCATTCCTACCTGGTCAGGGAACTTGCGGATGCTTTCTACCAGATACTGGTAAGACTTCCAGTCTCCAGCGATCACTTCTCCCAAAACTGGGATCATCTGGAAACTGTAAGCGTCATAAAGCCTGAAAAAGAAGAAAATGGATACAGGTTACTGAAGGAGCAGACAGCTTCCATCTCATCACTGAACCTGCTGTCTATCTATATTATTGTTCTTCATACATGAACTTAGAACTAAGTTCTTATAGAAAATAACTTTGTGGACATAAAACCTGCATTTTGTATCACATAAATAAAAGTATCTGTAGATTAAAGACCAGGCCTTTAAAAACTACTGCCTTCAATGCATATGTGAAACTAAAAGACAATAACCTATCAGACAAGCGATGGAGCGACAACAGATCACATTTAAAAGACCTGCAGCCTCAGCGAGCTTCTACTCAGATTAATGCTGCAGATCGACAAGCGATGGAGCTACAACAGATCACATTTAAAAGACATGAACTGGTTTGAAAACAAAACCAGAGGAGGGCAGAGTTATCCAGACTACGAAAAGAAAAAAAGGTTGACGAGTCACATTGTGGGTCTAGGGAAGGACCCAGAATGTATTTAGATAACAAACATTCATTAGAAGTCACTAACTATACTTTAACATTTATATTTGGTCAAATTGAAGAGAGTCGATTTTCTGCTTTTCAGCTGGTAAAACAGTCAACACAAAATATGCAACATGCATTACTCTTGTAGAGAATAATTTAAACAAATGTAAAGCAGTTGCCCAAAAAATCTAAACAGGTGAGTTATAATAAAACTCCCCGTCCGTACAGTGTGTGCCGATAAAGACATTAGCTAATCAGACACAAACTGTTTTTGTACCAGGCTGTAAACATGTTTATGTTCTGTTGTCAAAATGGACATTTTAATATGGACTGTGTATGGGACTTTAGGGTCTTTTGGACCCCGCCTCAAGGGGGTCACTCGAGGAGCTGCAGTTTTTTTGCACCTCTGCTTCGGCTTCTTTTTTCAACACCAGAAGTTACCGCTTCGCTATATGCCTACTTTAAGCCAAGACTCCACCCAGTGTTCAGAGTTGGAATTACAAAATCACAGTGTTACAGAAATCTCATGCAGATAAACAATAACAACAAAAAAAACGTGAGTTTTGACTCCAATGAATCAAACTACTTACATTACAGAAAACAGTGTATGAGTGAAAACCTGAGATTTCTCGATTAAATGTTACATTTCCCTGTTGTTTATATCAGCCTGGAAACAGCTGTCAAAATGTGTGTTTTGAAGTAAGCAATACATTTTACAGAGACCTTTTAGACATTATCAAGCCTGATTCTCTTGAAACCAAGCCCCCCTCTCACCTTGCCAAAACAGGATTTGTAACTTTGCTGAACTCTAAGCACATGAACCTTCCACCAGGCTTCAGGACCCGCAGAGCCTCCTGCAGTGCCTGAACAGAACAAGACAGTCCAAAGTAAAAAATATATATATATATATATATATATAAATTAATCACCAGTCATTTGTCATAAAATTCTAAACTCTTGAATGGTACAGTCTTTAAATGTGATGACTTGCGTGTGTGTATATTTAAGGTATTATTTGTGAATGAATTGTATCTAAAGCAGGGTGACTTACCTGCTCTATATGCGTGACGTTTCGTATTCCAAAAGCGATGCTGTAAATATCAAATTGATTATCATCAAAAGGCAGCTCCTCTGCATCCCCAACCACCCACGACAGACCTGTCACACATCGATACACAAACACACACAGAGGATCAGGGGCCGTGGTACTCAACGTTTCATTCTTCAGTTTACACTTTTAGATTTGTCCCTCAGTATGACACTTCAGACTTAGTCTCTCCTCAACTGGTGAAATTAGTAAAATATATTTTTTATAAGGCCTTCGCTGCTTTTAAAAAGAAAAAGGAACAAATAACTAGAAATGGCAGATACTGAGCAGCAAAATGCTTTGCAATGGTGATTTTATTAGCAAGTTAAATTGAGCTGGATAACATGCTCCAGCATCCCATGTTTTTTGAGAACAAATCATGTAAAACGTGTTGCTATGTTAAAGCACTCATAATGGATTATCCTGGCTCTCTTGTCTACTGGATTTCTGCTCAAAAGGATCTCCCAGTTGAGGAAGAAAAAAAAAAACTTACCAGTGCCCATCCCCATGCTGTCGGCTTTCTGCTTGCCCACTTTCAGCATCTCTTTGTTGATGTCACAAACCACAGCACGGGATTCCTTAGACTCCTCCCCGTTCTCATTGGAATAGTTATCAGAAATGTCCTGCCATGAAGGCGTCTGCATGGACCGTGTCGCTCTTCTCCTCTGCCGCTCTTGCTGAGAGCGAACATACTCCAGGAAACGGAAGGCAATGTCACCTGCAGAGGTGCACGGTCACAGATAAGACAGGAGTATGACTCAGTTTGATACTTTAGAGATGTTCGCACAATTTTATCATACCTGTCCCTCCCGCAACATCAAGGAGCCGCACCCCTGGCTGCGGATGCATCACATGCAGCAGCATGTCCTTCCACAAGCGATGGACCCCCAGGCTCATGGCGTCATTCATGACGTCATACTTCTGTGCCACATTCTCAAACACCTTATACACTGAAAATATCAAGAATGTTTTATGTTACACTCTGTTTCATACAGTCACTTCAACTCAGATAGCTCGGATAACAGATAACAGCTCTGGGGCACAGGGGCTACTATGCCCCATGCTTCAGATATTTATTCATCATGAGGATTTTTCATTCATTTGTGTACAAGTTCATGCTCTTTTAGCTTACTGTTCTAAGGCTTTTCTTAAAATTGATCAAGGACCAATTTCAGAACAATATCCTTAATCCCCGACACACTCAAAAAAGGTACACCTAAAAGGATGTCATATTCTTGCCTGTATGTATAACTTGTTTTCATCCTGCAACGTGCATGATTACACACCCTTACCATTAAAAGGTTAATCAATTTAAAATGTAGTACAGTTTTTAATTCTTAAAATAAATTGACGGTCTGCCTTGAATTGACAGTCTTTAAATCAAGATGGTTGAATAAAATAATTATTCAAACAATTTGAATATAGAGGTATGGTATATATGTGTAAGACACATTAATATACCTATAGAAATGTGTTACAATCGTAACTTTCAAGACATGTTTCAAATTCCGGCAAATATGAGTCAGACAGTGTGCAGTATTCATTGTGATCAACAGGCGTCAAGTGCTATCAGACTTCCTTAACGTGGAACACGCATATTTATTTACTTGATGATTTTTTTGTCTTTTTCTAGATACAAATTGAGACTCAGAAATGCGTTGATGTCAGAAAGATTTGTAGTGAATTGTCCTGATTTTATTATATTGTCTACATACTGTATGTCCTGTTTTGCTCTATTTTTATGTTTTCAATGTTTGTATGTAATTTTCATTTGGGTAAATTTTATTTGTGATAGTAAATATTCTTACTTTGTTATTCTTTTACTGTATTTTATTTTAACTTTGTTTAATCTCTTAAAGTGAGGTTTTGAGATAAGCCCTCGTAGGTTTCTACCTCACCTGCACATGTGTTTTATTTTCTATTTAATTCTTCTTTCAAATAAATGTGCTAATAAACTGAACTAAACTAAACGAGTTGAGAATTTGTAGTGTTTTTTGTTCACCTATCAGACGACAACACAAGCAATACCTTGTAAAATGATTATCCACTTCATTGCGTGTGTTTGGGGTTCACAGAGAGAACATCAGAGATCACATGTTTTGGTATCTTCCTCTCAAACACATGGTTAGAGAATCATCTTCAAGAATAATAACACGCCGAATAGTTCATCAAATGCTCATGATCATCATAATATGTCAAAGCGATGCCTCATGTTGTGTTCTTTTGATTAAGATGCAGTAGACTTTTAAACAAAGGGTTTATTTGAATGAGGTTTTGCTGGAGTAGGACACCTGTAGCTCTGCAGGGTTAGCTCACCTCTCTTCGCCTTTTCGGTCTCTGGCACCGTTTCGAAACCAAAATGTGTACTTCTGTCTCCGGCTGCATCGCTGAAACAACAGCAGCCCGTTTGACCTGAAGCCCCCGCAGTGGTTACGTTAATGTTTCTGTGAGTAAGACGGATCGCCCTCCGGACCAGCAGTCTCATGGACGCGGCCATGTTGCCTGATTATACAACTATGCGACAACGCGACGTCACTCACAGGCGACGGATGCATTTATTTTTTATTTTATTTTATTTTATTTTTTAATAGTTGAGTTTGTTGAGATTTTCATCGCTAATTTCCGTTTCGTGCAGGAACCTTTGATTTGCCTATGTGGATGTGGCCACTGGACTCACCGCCTCAACAATGTGTTCAAAACCTGATTTTTGAATCCTTGAAAATTTGCATCGATTTAATTTATTTTGCAGTTATTCTGAGGATTTACTAGTACCAAACATACTGTATTGTTAGGTTGCAAAGTACTCCTAACATTATAAATGCCATATAGTTTATTTTTGCTTTAGTAAAACAGAGTATAATTTATTAAAGGATTTATGACTGACCATTGTTTGGACTTACATGTAAATTTAAAGTAACCCTTTTATATTTAAGAATAAGTGCTAATTGATCAATTCACTGTGACATTTACCTGGAATAAAGAATAAATCAAGAGAAATGTGTTAGTCTTATAGAAAGTTAAATAATAGGTTATTATAGGCTATTATAATGATACTCAGGGCTGCCGTTATGTTTTATCATTGAACCATTTTCCCAAGAAATAAACTAAATTGTTACATCAAATTCATGTTGTAACGTCTATCTAAAATCCATACGTTTGGGAGGGAATTTAGAGTTCAGTGTCAAACTTAAAAATGCAGACTGAATGCTGACTGTCTCTACAACCTGATCATGCAAAATGTGTTAAAAGCTGCAAAACTTCACGTTAGAGATGCTGGACATTTTTACATGGTTAATGACTTAAATGGTAAAATAATTATGTAATTATCTAAATGTTTCTTTGGTTATTTTCAGTCCTATAATCATCTATCCTCAAGACAGACATGAAAGTGTGTACATAAACAGCTTTCAGCAGCATAAAGCTACAATAATAAAGGGAAATCTGCAGCATTGTACAGGCCAATGCCTGCACTCAAAAAACACTGAAGGGCATGAGAGTGCTTTAATTGCACCAGGGTCACAGGCAATATTGCAGAGTGAAGCGGATCAAATCAGACAAGTTCCTGCACAGCCAGTAAACCTTGTTCACACAAATCTTTTTTTGAATCCATCAAGGGAGACTAGCTCCCTTTTCTTTCTTAAATGTTCCTCTCTCCTAATCCACCTGACTTCAGAACCCTGAGTGCAGAAAGTGGCAGGTATTGTCTTCCATTCTTCTCACTTTCTCATTCTGACAGTAACCAGACACTACCATGTATTGTCCTATTGTTGCCTCTATTACTGGTCGACTGGGGTTCAGAGGGATCAGTTTACATCACTCCACTTTTCTTGGTTATGGGAAGGTTGACTAGAGGGGGAACTACAGGCCAAGGCTATTTTTTTTTACAGGAACCCAGGGGAATGATGATACAGCTTCAAGTCTATAGCTAAGGATTAATGTTACATCTGCACAATTGCTACTGAGAGAAAAATAACATTTAGAGTCAATGGGAGGGTGTGTAGAAGGCTACAAAGATTCAATATCAGTCTCTGTGAACCTTTGAAGAGGGTCAGACAAAAACCTCAGCTGGAAAATGATACAATTTGTACTCAACAGTGTGTTGAATTAAAGCATTCATTAAACATTTTTAAATATATATCAGCTTCTTTTTGACAAACAAAAGATATTTGAGTTTGCATGGAAATATACCACGGTTGTACCAAGCATTATTTTTGGGCTACTTGAGGACATGTGCTCAAAAAATCTGTCACCAGCAGAGGGTGTAAGAGGATCACTGACGGCACTGTCTTTAATTTCATGTCCTGGAATGTGTTTATCTCTGACAGTAGATCAAGCTAATTTATCTGCTTTACTAAGTAATATCATATATAAATATAAACAGTCACTAAGGTAGAAAAAAACATTTTACTAAAATCATATCAAATATCATGCATTGAGTTATGTATCAAGTGTTCATGGACTTTGTCATTCCGGTGGCACTTTCAATTTCAGACTGTTTTGTCTGTCTCCAAGGCCCCCTGAGCTCTTTCGTTTCGCTGTTAAATGTTTGAATACTTGAATAATAAATGTTCAAATGGGATCTAAAGGGAGGGAAGCTTCTTTTTGCAGTATCATTGTCTCTCTTTTCCACAAATTATTTTCAGATTCAGTTAAGGGTTAGTATTCTTGATCAACGATTTGTTTGAAGTGTGATAAATCATTCATTTATTTCTGGTTAAAACTTGTCTGTCAACCAAAATACAAATAATTCTCTGTGAGACACAAGTTTATCTTTGTGAATGTGTTGCTGCAAAACTGTCCTCAGTAATCTTAGTGTATGTTGAGCATCACATGAGATTTTGTGAAGTCCAAGTGTTTTTTGTTGTTGTTGTCGAAGAAAAAATAACCTTGTGGCTTGCATTCTTCTGGGTATTGAAGGTTGTGTGAACATTGGCAGAATATGGTGTGTTGTATTGCCCTGTGCAGCACCTAGTTTCTCAGTGGCAGACTTTCTGTAAATAACAGAAATGTTTGGCTGGATAAGATGATCCTGATTTATGTTTTGAATACTCTGCTTCCCCTGCAGCAGCAGAAAATAATCTCTTCCTTGTAATCAGGCGAGAGAAAAGGCAGATCAAACTGACAGTCCTGCTTGTATGAAATAAATGAAATCATGTCTTTTGTGTTGCTTTAATAAAATAAAGATGCCTAAAGTGAACACTGAGTAAATTACGAGTTGTGTGAAATAGAGAAAACTCATTCGTTTCGATATGAGGATTTTAATGTGATAAAAGTAACAACATGCTTGAGTTTGGTTTTCACTTAGATAGTACACAGTGCATACAGTATACAGTTTAGGTTCTTATTAGGTTACCAAATCTGTATCACATACATATTTAGTCCAGGGAGCATACTATTGGGAAACAAGTTGCTATAACTATACTGTGTTCAGAAACAATATTTATTTTAATATTCTTCATTGACTGGGGAAAATGGACAAAAGAACCTGAGCCTTTCCACAATAAAGTTTTTTTTTTTTTTCAGATCTCTTATATCTCTTATAATATAATATGTGAGTATATAATTGTGAGTGTTCCTTCAGTATCATTATATGATGACAAACGTTTTGAAAAAAGTGATTTGATGTAAAATGTGGCTCAGTCAGAAGCATTAGATGGTCTCATGTAACAATATTTGGAACTTTTAACCAAAATGTTTTCTAAGGAAACAACAGTTAATTTACAAAAAAAAGGTCTTATAATTGGCTTATACTGTAGTTAGTTCATACATTTAGTTATTTATACATCATTAATTAGCTGTTATATAATATAAGGTAAAAGAGACCTCTGATGTCATTAGTTACTTATCTTACCTCTCAGTCAGTCAGTATGGGGATTCCTTTGAAATTCATTAACAAGTTAGTTGCATATAACAACTTTTATCAAATGTGATGCTTAAAATGAGCTCGAATGGCTAAACTTGCACTTGACAAATGTCTCTGAATATGCACTGTCCCTTAACCTTCATCCTCATAGTGAAAAAGTTTTATTCGTCAGAACACATTTTTGCATATGAAATAATTAAATTAACTTCCATTAATCAATATGGTTTACTTTGACATTTTCAGTATGCTATCAGCAGCTTTCTTTTATATCACCACTGATGTTGATATGACCTATGTAATGCAAAGTAGATACTACTGTGGTTTATTATGATGATTCAATTGGCAGGATGGCATGGTTACATTTTTTTGTTTTTTGGGGGGGCTTTTATTGTAGCTATAGGACAGTGGATAGAGTTGGAAATCAGAGAGGGGAATGTGCCACAGGTCTGGAGGACTAGAGCCTCTGTACTTGGGGCCCGTACCAACCACTACGCGTCCGAGCCCCGGCATGACTCAATTATATATTATAAAGTTTACAGTAAGGCTCTCTTTGGACATTATTCATGATTGTAATATAAATTAGCAGTCAGGCAAATAGTCAGTCTGCATCAATGAAATAAAGACTGTTCAACATGAAATAGTTTACTAGTGACATAAAAGTGTCTAGAACCTAATTGTAAAACATGTATCAATCCTTTATAAGGGTAGTGGTACCAGTAAACCTCCTTGTAGCAAATGCACATCTGTCTGAGTGTGTTTATGAAGTACTTGCAAACATTTTAGAGGATTACTTTGCTTCTCCATGGAGATCAAGCTGCTTTGCCAACAAATAGCAAGCACACACTGCTGCAGTGTCTAAGAAGGAAAAAAAAGAGCCTATAAACTGTTTGAGAGTGAGCACAAGATGAAAGGAACACTGAAACACCTTTCATAAATCAGGAAATCATCACTGCATACATCCCGAGCGTTCCAGCTTATTACAAGTCCTTCCCCTGTTTGTTTTTTTTCTGATAGTGTTCCAGTTGTAAAGCTCAACTCCTGCTGTTTCTCTCTAAAATGTGAAGGTTGCATGCTTGACCTCATCCCACAGGGGAACCAATAGGTTACACATGGCCATCCAAATCCTCGCTCCGTGTGTGTGCATCTCCAAACAGTCTGGGAGTCATTTCACATATCTGATAAGTATTTAGCTCAGCAGAAAGAAGAAAAAAAAAAAAGTTGAGGGGGTGCAGATGTCCCACCATGCACCAAAAGCCCGAATCTCCTTTTCTCACATGAAAAAGGAGTTTCACATGAGAAAACTATACAGGATTAGTTTGATCTGGATTTGGGTGTTTTACGGCCCATATGCTTTCCATCCTTTTAGGATACGTAATATCGTGTGCCATTGTGTAATAAATGGAGTTTAATAAATGGAAGGAATAAAACTCAAGAACAAGCACAACACCAGCTTAAGAAACATGCATACAGTGTTTATTTTGCAACCAGGACACATTAAATAAACTACAAAGGTACTTCACTTATACAAAAGATAGATTATATCCCATTCACATACAAAATAACAATAATTTACTGTATAAATTAAACATTTCACTATGTTGCTATTTACAATTTCTTGAAAGAAAAAAAAAAGGCTTATGACCCCTCCAGATCGTTTCCCACAGGGCTTCTGGTTGTTGTTTTCACATCAACTCCAGGTTGGGGGGGTTAAAGACTGTTTCCACAGCTCAGGAGATAACGCAGAAGACTTTTCTGATTGACTTCAGGATGGGACATAGAATGGAAGTTTGCAATAACTCTCCATGCTGTCCAAACAAACATGCCCTTGTTAGATGTAACCTGTCAGACTTCATTAGCTTGTGTTTGATTTGGGCGCACATTATTTGCCATCGCTCTCACATCCAGGCTCTCTTTCTCACCCCTCTTCTCTGTCTCTCTATACGCATGGGCTGCTCTGAACATCACAGGCCCAGGGGCATGTGCTCTTGTCTTGCAATAATTAACATGAGTTACAGTTGAGCAGCGCACGTATAGCACGGAGTCACATTTTAATCAACGTCTAATTTAGAAAAAAACATGTGTTTGATTGTGATTGTGTTTTTAATGGGATTTTTGAATGACGACATCCGCCTGCTTGAATGTCTCTGTGAGGCTGCATCATATCCAAAACATAACCTTTAGTCTCAAGTGCTCAGGTTGCTGCATAAAAGTACAAACTAGCTTCTTCTTTCCACTGAAACTAAATGCAAAAGAGAATAAGTCCTGTTTCATCTTGTAAGTAGAATTACATTTAAGTGCATTGACGTTTCTTTATTTATGATGTCAGTTATTAAAAAGAGTTTTTGCTGTGGAACACTTATTCCAGTCCCACAGCAGGAAGAGTCACTTGCTATGCCAGTGGTGGACCAGGAGAGTTTGACCTTTAACAAGTTGTTTAAATGCCACAGCAATGCACAGGAAAACCATTACAGCTGCAAACCTGCTGTCAGGTTGAGCATAGCACCACTGACTCCCGTTTATAAATCTGTCTTCCTTTATTTTTTTTCCGTTCAACCTTTTGGACTGAAATCAAGGTGACAAGTTAAAGCTTCCAGGCCTGCAGTGTCTCATTGAATTTAGGCGGTATATATTGCTGTCTTAGAGAGAGGCGAAATTGGATTCAACTTTTGAGCTTGGTTGACGAAAGCATTTTGACGGATCTCACAAATGCTTCGACATTTGAGACACAAAATGAAACAGAAGACATAAATATCATCATCACCACACTGAATTACATAATGTACAACAATATTCACCCCTCCCTTGTGATCAAAAGACAACTTAATGTGAACAATATGTTCAATAAATGTCCAAGACTACACATAGGAGCACACACAGAATTAAAAAAACAAACATTTTTAAAGCGCTGTCCGTTACTACACGAAGAGCTCTATTCCAAAAAGCCATGTGCTCATTTTGGCACTAAAATGAATCATCTAACGTCCACCCTGTAACAAAAAAAGTAAAAAAGATCCAGTTCAGTTGAGTTTACAATGTTTAAAAATAACTCATAATAAATGCTTTCCATCACTGTACAAGATGTGGCATTATTTCTACCTAACAGTCAGCAGTGGAAATCCTATTTTCTGGACTGAAATTTCTCATCAACCACACTGATTCTAAAGAAGTGCAGACTCCTGCGAGGGACCCCAGTCTGCTCCATGAAAGACACAGATGTTAGGAATCTGAGACAAGCAAAGAGGAGATCCTTAAGGCACTTGAACACCATCAAACCGGAAAGACTCCTGCCCACAACTGAGCAGAAAAAGCCCTCAGATCTTCCCAAGCCTCCCTAAATGGCGGTTTGTCTGCAAACTGCGCCACCCAACCCCACGAGTGAGCAACGCTACTTCTTCCCTCCGCCCAAATCCACATTAGCGCTGAGTGATCAAGTGGGTGAGCACGCTGTCTCTTGTCTATGATCTTTTTTTTGATTTTACGGTGAGTAATTCATCCCCAAAGTGCTGTGAGATCTACCATCACGTGATGTTTCCAAATCCTGATGCCCTCTCCTTAGAAAGCTAGCTGTCATGTGAAACAACACAAAAAGAAACGTTGCATATGGAATCATAAAGACAAATACATACACAACTCTTTGGATGGGAGGATTCTGGTTTTTGGCTGCAAATGTTCATCATCCATATGAGGCAGTTTGAAGAGTTATAAAAGCTGTATATATGTGTGTATCAACACTCCATTTATTGAGCCTTTCCTCGATACTAGTGAAGATTTGGTTACCAGTGACTGTGTTGCACCAGAAAGAGGAAAACCTTTCTATTTTCTAAACTCAAACACAGACAGTGAAGTCAGCTGTTATCTGCACCTGGCCTTGCTGTGTTTCCACTGGTGAGCCTGCAGTCTTGAAGGGTTTTTTGGAGGTATGCTGAGTGTGAGGGACGATCAGTGGGTGATGGAAATGGAGCCTGGCTGAACAAGCACAGCTCCCATCATGATAAAAGCGTCCTTGAAATTTTGTCCTCCATTCACCTCTTTGCTCTCCTCTCCCACAATGAGTTCTCTGACAGCCCTGCTTGTCCCCCTCCTCCTCGTTGCAGAGCAGGGTGGAAGGGTGCTGCCACTTCGGCCTACAGGCCATTCAGTAGCAGTCACTCAGTCAGTTGTCATTCAGCCATTCAATTCTTGGCTTGTTAGCATTGCACCTCATATAGAGTTTGATTGTCTGAGGGCCTGGCATCTGACGGCCGTTGTACAGAGTAGTTGCGGGGTGGCGGTAGGGTTTGGTTGACTGTGGAGAGCAGCAGTGGCGCTAGTTGCCCACCAGGGGGCTGAGGTCTCCGTGGTGGTTCTTTAGCTTCTTCTTGAACAGGGAGATGGTGGAGGGTCGGTAAAGAATGATCCAAGGCTCTGAAGATGCCGTGCTCTGGCTGCAGCTGTCTGAACTGCTAACTGCTGGGATGCTTGGGGACCTGAGAGGGAAAATGAGAAAAAAGAAGAAGAAGCAGAGAGAATAGTAAAACAGGAGAGAGGAGGCAGAGAATAATGGAGAGTGTGAAAAATAAAGAAGAGGATTTAGAAATGTGCATCTCTATGTTGCATTTGTCCATGCTTGATTTATAGTGCGTACAAACTTGATGAAATTTACCATGTTATTCACAATGCAACCATTTTCCTCCCAAGCTAATTTGCTGATATAAATGTTGACCTGCTGAGTCACAGTTTATGAGTTGAATAAAAGTTGAAAATCTAACAATTAACTTTCATGTTACTTTTTTCTTAAATGATAGTAAATGTAAAAGATAATGGATAGTAGAAATGTAGAGGAACATTAGGCCATAATCCAAGGTAAATCAAGATATTTGTTACAGTTAGCCAATTCTGAGCTAACTTTACTGTTAGCTAGTTATTTGTAGGTCACTTCTTTACATTCTAGGAGTGAGATGCATGTGTGACTGCAAACACATGCATTTTTCACTCCCTTTTTACATCTAATTTTTCCTGCCAGCCCCCTCGTAGATTTTCTGCGTTAAGCCGATGTGAGAACGCAGCAGGATATATTGAGGAAAATTCACCGTCGGAGGGAGTGGTGACAACCGGCTCACGACCGTAGAATGTAGAGTGGACGACCAGTGAAATCCCAATGCAAGCAATGACACTGCTTCATAATGTTTTTTTGTTCGCCAGGATGTTCTTCTCAGCTGTTTTGTTCATATTAAGAAAGTGTCCAACTACAGGAAGCATCGATATAAACGCAAAAAAGAGCCTTTATAGTGTCGTATAGCAGACTCTGTAGCTTTGCTCGCCTGTCTACCTGAAATGTACTACAAAGTTTCATGAGATTTTCACAATCTAATGTTAATGGAAATCAGGGTAATGATAATAATTGCTCAGATATGCTGTTTAATGACTTGCAAACTGTAACACAGTACTGTTACGTTGTAGCAGGATTTCAACTTCCCACCATGAGCGTAAAGTCATCAAAATGGCCACAATATATATATAGTGAATTACACCTGAGGATGCTTTTAAAGACTCTATTAACGCCCCACTGATATGAAGCTTATTACATTCAATCTTCCACTAAAGATGGTCAGAATCTGAATTTTTTTTATTGTTTCACCTAAATTAACAGCTTCAGCCTAGTGGATAAAACAGATACTTCTTTGTTTTTACACAATTATACTAAAAAATAAAATAGAAGGAGCTTTGGACTAATTTTAAAATTATTTTTGGGACACACTGGGATCACACACACACCTGAGACATCCTCATACTTACTTGACTGTGATATGCAGCAGCAGCTTTGCCACCATGGCTATGACTGTCAGTATGAGGAGAGCAGCCAGAGCGTAAATGGTCCACACTGCAGAGAGGAAACCACACGATAACAAGACATAAGATATCAAATCATGTTAACTGAAAAATACTGAAGAAGACTGAGAGGATAAGCAAGTAAATTATTATCAAAGCACTGTTAGCACACCTGTTAGCAGCGTTAGCAGCCAGCAAATTGGCAAGAAATGGGGATGCTTTATTACTGCACATCTGCTCACTTCAGATTGAGAAATACATCTGATAGCCTTTTGGGACAGAGCGCTCAGAGTTTAGAAGAAATAATATGAGAAGTAAAAAAAAAGGGACAGAATACATCAGTTCACATGCGTAGCTTTGACAAGAGGCCTGATTGTGATCAGCAGGGAGACCCAAAGTAACTTCAGTTATGAGTCACTAACAGGAAAAAAAACAAACATCTCATGATCACAGGAAGTCACTCTGTGCCAAAGCCTCCAGAAGCCTCTCCTCAGTCTAAGACTTTGAAACTTTTCGAAAAAATCAGGCCATGCTTAGTTGGAGCGAAAGCCAAGAAATCTGCCAGCCTGTAAAGGTAGGAAGAGGTACAGTATATCATGGGTGTTAACATACTAGCGCTGTGGCCGTTGGTCTCGCCGTGTCCAGCCCACTGACCTGGCATGTTGTGCTCCGGTTTACCGGGGCTGGACGTGATCACGTAGCGTATCTGGGAGGAGCGTCCGTTGGAGGTGCTGTTGGATCTCTCTGTGACACTGCCAGCTAGTTGAGGCCCCGCCGTGCTGGAGACATCCTCTCCGTTCTCCTCCCCCTCTCCCTCAGCCTCCATTGTTCGACTGTCTTGGCTCCCTATTGCTGGGGATACAAAAATGAAGAATTGATTTAGACCACTGGATGTTGTTTCTGACATTATCAAGGTGCCTTAAAGCAAAAGAAGAGGATGGCTGGTGATTACTTTGTCAGGAGAAGCAAAGTCTTGAGCAGAGGCATTTTCAAATACCTTTTAATCTACTTACTCCTGTTATTAAAGTTATCTTTAAAGGAAGAATGTGAAACATTTTACACATAAATATATCAGAAATCAAGTATATCCTTTGTAAATGTCTCTCTGAGTCATGACTGTCTACAATGAGTGAGAAGTGTGAGTCCAATCATCTGTACTGTTGTCGGAGCAATCTTTGTTTTCTTTTTGTTTAGAAAAATAAAAAAATGAAAGAATTAAAAAACATCAACCTGTATGCTGATATTTGTTGCATTATATATGGGAATACAGCCATGTTCTTTTCAAAATCACGTCTTGTAACAGGACTATTTCTGAATCAAGTGGACTTTCACAGCTCTGATGGAGAGGAGTGGTGATTTGTCTGTCCTCTGTGTCATTGCAAAAGGTCAGCCATGTTGTTGTAATTTCTACTAGTTGAGTACACACATCACTTAACGCCCCCTTTAATGATTCCCCTGGGTAAAATGGTCAAATGGGCTGTGGCAGCAAGTATGAAGTAATAAGATACAACATGTTGATCATGTTGTTGAAAGTATATAAAGAGTCACGAGCCAATATTTAATACTCACAGTGTTTTTTAAGAAACAGAACTACTTTGTAAAAACACTCAAGCACGCTGTAAACATGTTGTGTTGAAAGCTTTTCTGTCTGCCTCAGTCATGATTCAAAAAGTGCTCGCAATAAATTCTGTTTGTTTTAAGCCGCTCACAGAACCAGATGGGCCGAGGTTTGCTTCATAAACTACAGTGCCAGAGAGCGTGCACTCTTTAAACTTATTTATGTGTTTTCAGAGGAAGCAACATCTTAAATAAGATCTTCTCTGCCTTTCATTTACTTCTCATCGAATGTGTGATTTATTTTTCCGACTCCTCCTAGAGAACAAACTGTGGAATGCGTCACTCTGATATCTATGTCATTTCATTCGAGTTATTGATTGTTTTTCTAACGTCTTTATTTCCAGTATGAGTTTTACAATTCATACATAGGCTTCTCTAGTTTGCCTCATCTTACAGAGAATCAATGACTTTTTGTCTCTTTCAGTTGTGACAGGTGGCCATGAAACAGAAATAATTAAGATAACTGTGATCCAAAATAATTATTTTCATAATAAGTTTTGGTAAATATCAACAAAACAACGCTAATGCAAAATGTAATATTGTTGGAGAGCCTCCTAAAAAAATGGGACATCAGTCCTTTTTTATTAGATTCCTGTGTTTCTTGTCAAAAACATTACTTGCTGAAGGCAGTCCAGAAGCTATTAAAGACCATACATCCTGTTAAATCTAACATCATGTTAGTCACAGTCAATACGATTTTACAAAGACTTGGTATCTTGCAGGGTCATCATTTAGAAGACTAAGATATACCCCAACCTGTTCCTGGTGAAATTGTACAAAAACAATTGACTAGAACTCAAAGCACCTTTTTGGTCACCTTCATATTTATAGTCTTTTTGTTATCTGCAGTTGTTAAGGTGATATAAGAAGGGCACTTGTGAAGGCAGTGGGTTGGACTTCCCTCAAATCCCCGAGCAGGCAAAGAAAAAGATAGAAACTGACAATTTTGTTCAATCAAGATAAGAAAATTGAAAACATGCTTCGGTGCCTGCAAAAGTTTGTGAAACCATCATTGAATGTTTGTTTACGACAGTGATTTCAGCACGTTCTGTATCAAGATTGAATTTTGACAGCATGTTTTGAAGATGAGGAAAACGATTCTGTCAGCCAAATTAGAAAAAAAAAGATGTTTTCAATCCCTTATCTTTTTGACATTAACCGTAGATAAAATGATCACACTTACACACAAATGTATATCCATCCATCCATATTACTCCCATGTTTCTGTGTATCGTTTTATAAATCATATATTTTACATATTCACTGATGCGGACTAACCAATCAGTGTGGACAAAGTGAGAAACATATCATCCACAGTAACAGGGATAACCTCACAGATCTCATGCACATGGTTTCAGATTAACAGTTGCTTTCTAGCAAAAGTCGTGCCGTTTAGGAGGAATCATACACTGCTAAATTGAATTACCGAAAGTTACAATCCACCTATCTCAGGGCCCACTTTTGTTAATCAAACAGCCAAGATAACTTTTAGGTATTTAATCCAGGCCTCTTCCATGAATGGTGGTTGGAGCTTGAAGCAGCGTGGGATTTTCTTTTTCTTTTCATAAAATTACTCAACCTTACTGTGATGTCCCAACAACTTCCCACATGTTCCCCATTTGCAAACTAAATACCACACTTCAAACCTGGACTCAGCTCTGCCATCTCTGTCATCTTAGAGCGTTTATCCTGAAATTACCATTTTGCCCACTCAGCATGCCACAGCAAAGATATACTATGTACTTTGTGCCGATACTCTGTTTAACTAGTGTCTTTTTCTTAAAGTTTCTGTTTTCTCCTCTCTGAATCTGAGTTGCTACGAAATGATCTCCCATCTGTCTGTAAAAACAGGGTATTATTTCACCAGTTGACCTTTTCCTATATCACCTCTCAGATTTCATTTCTTGGTTACACGATGCCTCACGCAAAACGATAAACCCAGATGCAGTGTAGAAAGAATCGTGTCTGTCCAGAGGTCAAGACAATTCTGACCTTTGAATATCATATTTACTGTAGCGCCGGCGGGAGAGAAATATAACAAATGGAAGCAGAGAGGGAGGAGTGGGAGCAGACTGCCTCCCAGTGTAACGAGCTGTGAGCTTAAAAGTCACCTACACTGAAATATATCAAGGTGCTCTTCTCTCATGCCTCCAGTAAAATTAAACTATTAAATCATTTTTGGTGCATTCAGACGCAAAGACTGCAAGAGAAAATAACACGGAAATAGCAGAGGACAGCTTCTCTTTTTTCATTTTATTCTTATCACATTTTTCACATTAGTCTGGCATGGGAATATAATTTGCTATAAATCTTGGATTAGCTCGGCTACATGTCTGCTCAACAGTGGAATCATGCTAATCAGAGGGCATGGAGCATCGCATCACAGTATTTTGTTTGTAGGTGGCATAAAACTTGCTGTGCAACTCACTGAGCAGCACTCTGGAGAAGCAAAGCAGCCTGCTGCAGCTTGATAAGGAAGTGAGTTCCTAGAAAAACAAAGCATTATTTAAATGTGCAGAATCACCCCAGGGCAGTGAGACATTGACTGGCAAATGAAAAGAGAAAAGGGCTGTTGCACCACAACCAGCAACCCTCAAACATGCAAAACTCCAACATGGAGCAAGCACATAAACCTTAAACCTGACCATGCAAATGAGGCTCCCGGTGGGTTTGAGGTCAGCAACGACCTCTGGGGCTGAAAAATGAAGCCAACATGGAGGTGCAATTTCTGAGGTGGCCACTTGAGGCTGGCTCCAAAAGCAAGTCAATGCCCATTTGTCCCCATATAAAATTCTCAACTTAACAGCAGAATGAAACATGATGACAGCTGGGTTAAAACAAAATAGTTTTACAATTGAGAATTGAATGAGGGTTGGATTAGGGCAGCTCGGTTCATATCCGACCTGTGTCTGCTCTCCTGCATGTCATTCCCAAACCTCTCTTCCTGATTTCCTACTTCATCCACATTCCTCTGAAATGAATGCATAATTGCCCAAAAGCAAATCTTTAAAAAAGTTTTTTTTTTAAAGCGGTGTCTGTCAACACCTTGCTCCTCTCCAGCTCTACCTTCTGTCTCAAATATGTTCTCTTTAGTTCACAAAAACAACATGATGACAGCAAACTCAAGTCTTCAACAAGACAGATGAAAAACTAATTGGTTGCCATCCCAGAAGCTACTTTAATTATTATGTCTATGATTTGAAGGGGTACTGCAGTGTAGGGTGTTTGCTAGAACTCTAACCAAACATCCAAAGTGATGCTGCATAGTTAATAGAGTTTCAAAAGAGTACTACCTTGGTAAAGAAGAGCGAATCCCTGAGCCTGGTTGGTGCGATCTGAGAAGAAGTACAGGATGACAAAATCGCCTGTGACGTTCACCAGCTCACGTGGTGGGCTGCGCCAGTCGAAGCGTGCCACCACCTGATTGGTGTAACCATCTAGTAGCTCCACCATGTCCGTCTGGTCCGAGATGTCAAAGAAGGTGAAGTTGAAAAGGATGGCTGATGATCCTGGCACCTGGATAGTCCAGTAGCAAACACGACCAGCGCTGTACTTATCCGGGAAGTCAGGGGAGTAGATGACGTCTGATGGAGAGGAATAGTTTCCACCACAGGACCCTACTCGCGCTGAATGAAAGAGCACAAAAAGAAGAGGAAGGAGTGAGTGAGATTAGATAACAAAGCTTACATTATGCATAGACTAATAAGGATGTCAGGTTTATGAACTGATAACTGGGCTATTTATGGTGGTTTGTTTGACTGACAGGATAACAGGATATCATGTAAAATAATTAAATGCCACTTAAACAGGATGCACCAATTTGATACACCAAATTGGTGCAATAACTGACTTTATTAAGTGGAAGGTTTACAATATAAGCCATTTTGTTATTTGTCCACATTTTCACTGATCAACTGATTGCCCTGTTTTTTTTATCATTGTGTTGTAAAATTCAGTGCTTCCATTATCAGTTTCAATCCTTTAGTCATTGCAGTGGCTTAAGTTTTTTAACACCACATTTGACTCCACAGAGAAATAACTGGTTTAGTGCAGTAGCTATAATGAAGATTTGTTTCTACTTCTACTGTCTGTTAGAGAACCTCAAGTTGAAGTGTGTTGAGTGCAGCTTGAAGAATAAGGTATAAGTTACTTATTCAATGATGACATGTATCTTCAGTAATGTGAAAAGATGTCAGTCACTGCTGTGTGTAAGAAACAAGGGGTGCTGGAGGGAAGTCAATTTACAACTGTGCCTTCAGGAGCTGAACTGGAGCCTGATACAACAAAACATATTTAATTAAAGGTGTTAACATGACAAAAGGATTGACAGACCTGTTCCCACCTTAGGTTATTACAAACTCTAGACCCAACAGCGAAGGGCACAAAGCGTTGCTACCACAGAAACGTGTGTTTGTAAAATTGCACTATCTAATGTCAGTTGGCAAATATTTAAAAATGAAAGACAGAGATCACAGAGCCAGAGATAACGCAGTATCTGTGAACACACTTACTGTCAAATATGATGACCCAGCCGTCTCCGCCGCAGGGCTGGGTGTGGTCGCCAAAGCAAACATGGTTACACTCCATGCTGGGAGACTCGCCGTGGTCGCGCAGGTCCACTTCGTTACCACAGAAACAAGCATATCCTGACTCCATGCCAGCAAGCTGAAAAAACACAAAGAAAGGGTTACGCAAATCATTGCAACAGCAATTCAAAACAAACTTCGGGTGACACCTTCTGTGATGCTTTTCATTATAAAAGCACTTTGTTATAAAAGCACATGCGAGCGGAAGAGGAAAACACTGACGGAAACATTACAACTACTGAGAACTTTGGCTACTACTGGCTGTTCTGTTTTTTTCTTTTAAGAGATATAAAAGATGGCTCCTTGCTTTATAACAATAAACATGATTACACCATTCATGACGAACAGATTTTCAAAAATGTAACACGATCAAAAAAAGGATATCAGTGTAGGTGACTTTCAATGTATTTTACAGGATGTTACTAATTCCATTTTTAGTAACAAGTATCAAGTTGAGATGAAATACATATACACTCCTTCTCAAATTAAAGCGACTCTTTTTCTCATAATGAAAAGAGGCTGTAATCTGTGTTAGGGCAACCACAAACTCTCTGTTGTTTAGGAATCTCTTTTCCAACACTGACGCTGCACTCAGGGTGAAGAGAATAAAACGTTAAACAAAGAGCACCTATCTCTCTTTTGAGTCAAACTGTTGATAAACTGTTCCCGAAAGCGTCGGAGCAGAAATGCGTAACGTCGAAAACGTTCACACATCGTGACCTTGCCATCACTGGCTGCTTGTGCTCAAAAGAGCTATTGTCCTTTTTTGAGAAAAGACACCATTGTCCAATTTGTAGGCCCTACATGAATTCACGCAACTGAAGGTACTGCATCATTTCCCACTCTGCCTCTCTTCTCATGGAATAGGAATTTACCAAGCCTCTGCTCTCGCCAACACATGTCCTCGTTGCATTATTCTTTCTGATGAAGTTACACCAACCCGAATACTTCTGGAGGAGCAAACAAGCCCCTGATGATTGCTGTCTAACTCATCAGGCATGCTCTTTGTCAAATAGTCACACGGGATCCGTACTTCCGAGAGCACTGACGCTCGACATGCGCATTACAAACAGTGACAGTCCAAGGGTAGGCAGATGATGCCAATCTGCCACCACTTCCTGTAACATCTGCTGGAGTGAGAGGGAAAAGGGGGGGTTGGGGTGGCTGTCAGTATGTGTCAGCGCAGACGGGGCTGAAGCGGATCTACTGAGACAGAAAGTGAACACCTGGCACTGTTTAGAGCTGGGACAATGGCATGCCAGACTCAGAGATGAGGAAAATGCATTGAGGAGGAGGTGCCCACTGGGCTAATAACCATTTATTTCCAGCTGTCAGCCTTGATTGCTGTGATGATTTGTCATGCGCTGGTTGGTTTGAAACGGGAAGTTTGATGGCTGAATAAAGAGGGCATAGACTCCAATGGGCATCATGGTAATAACTGTCAGGAAACTGCCCCGTAAATGCAGATAATTTACATAAAAGCCTGACTATTGCAAGGAGACAGCTCTTGTCCATTTTAGACATGACACAGGCAATTGACCGGGCTCTTTTTCATCCACTCAGGGGGAACTTTGAAAAGTTTCCAGTGTGAGTGCCAAGATAAAGAAGTTTTTTCTCAAATTATTTTCCTACAGGAGCTGCCAGCTTTTATCTAAGTGAAAGTTTATATGCAATGTATATGTCTGCTTCACTCCCCAATCTTACCTTGTATCTCTGCTTCCTGCAGAAGCTTATACAGTTCTGGATGGTGAGTTTGTTGGACGTCTCGCTGGTACCGGACAGAGTGGGCGGGTCACCGCTGTCTCTGAAGCAGCCAAGGTTGCCAGGCACTACGAAAGGAGAGGACATGAGGAAGGTTAAAAAACAACAACAATGAGAGACGCACAATAACTTTGATGCATTGTGCAGAACATTATTGTTATTTTATATTTTTTAACTTTGTAGATACAGTTAATCATTTCTTCCTGATCTACTGACGTCACTTGTTTGTTACCTCTGAACCATGAGGAATGCTGCGTGACTTCCTCTGAGTTTAATAATCATGTTAGTGATTAACGCGGTGCCTCATAGACACTCCCCCAAAGAAAGATCTATGGTGACAGACTAAAGAGGTTTACGCCTCCTGATACATGTCTTAGTGTAAATTGGCAACAGGCAAGCCAGCAATTTGATCTCTGAGGAAAAAGCAAGGGGGAGGACGAGGAGGGAGGGAAGAGGGGTCACGGCAGTCATAGTGACTTTTGGAATCTAGAAAATGTACTCTGTCTGTTGGATGTAAGAGTAACGTGAATTAGATTATGGATAAAACATTTTCTACATGTGTTGGGGTTTGCTGGTGTTGAGAAATCTAATCTTTGGAATAAGTTTTGTACGTCAAGAGAAGGGAACATTTGTTGGGTTGTGCATTTCGAGAGGTTATTGGAAAAACTGCAGCATCAAGAAGAAGGCAGAGCCCAACATTTTCAAACAGATTCATTTGAACCTGTGAGAATACCAAAGTGATATTAGAGCATTGGCAAAAAGTAAAATGTTTAAGAGTTCTGTGTTTTCTACTTTAGACATATTTGGATAGCCTGATATAAACTCTATAAGCAGCATCCATTTATACTCTCAACACCTCAATTTTCCTTTTCTGTTTTATACCCTCTTGGTTTTGTTGCAACTACTGAATATTCAGATGTTTGTAAGTGGTTACCTGGGGATGTATGACATAAACAGGCCAACAATCACAAATGGATCACAGACCAAGCAGATGGATGGAAGATGATTGCTGACACCTTTCTAGATCATACTCAGTCAGACATAGCTCTCCAACTTTAGTCCAGCGTGTATTCACCAAACAGTATGCAATCTTTCAAATCCAACTCAGTCATTCAACACTCTTACACGTTTAGATTAAAAGTTAAAAGTAATAATTCAGAAAGAGCCAATAAAGCATCCTGCCGTCGATGCTCCTGTTATGATGGCTTTCATTGAGAATCAAATAGGCTTATTCTTGTTTTATTTCCATGTCTTGATTTGAACTGATTCCGACAAACAGAAGTAAATTCAGAATGTGAAAGTAATTTTAACCCCAAGTACGAACCCCCCCCCCCCCCCCCATTGCTCTATTCTCTTCGGTCAATTTTGGGTACATAAGTGCTCATTAGGAGAGGACAGGAGCAAGCTGTGCCCGAAATAGTTATCAGTGTAGCTCTGAGACACAATGAGAAGGCAGAAAGCATGTGACATGAAGAAACCATCACATTCTTCGCCAAAAATCTTTGATTTTTTAAATTAATTTAAACGATGAATGCAAGTTAAGTGAAGCACTAACCATCTTTAACATGAGTTCAAAGTGTGACTGAGGCTTATTGTCCAAAATCTAATTTTCTTGGGGTTGTGTGGACTTGGAATGACCTGGAACTGGAAATCAAATCAACAGAGGAAAGTACTAATCTAATAATTTAATTTTGAGCTGAGTCTTTAATACTGTAAAGACTAAAAACAGCATAGTTACACCTGTTGTTGTTCATACATGCAGTTACGAAAGATGGGGAATTTTCAAGGACAAAATAGCTCATTTGATTTGTGTTGGGTTAATTGTTTTATTGCACAATACAACAAACAGAAATCAGAGCACTTTCAATACCTAAGTCCTGTCTGGTGTATAAAACTTCAGCATTTCTCTACAGGATATGTAACAGAAGTAAATGTGAAGTTGTTTTGTTAAAATCAAATATGAATGCAAAATACATTTTCCAGAGAATACCACATTATACCCAAAGCCCAGACACACTGATAAAAGGTAGATAGACAAATATTTGATCAAAAGTGAGACATTGACCAGCAGCATGTCATGTCCATTTGTGTCCAACAACAGAGCCCTGCTTTGTTAAAGTTTGACAGCATACTCAGAGACTTCTCCCTCTCTGATTTGTTTTACTCAAACTGTCCTAGAACAAAATATCTCTGGAGCTTTATCACTGCTTTTGTGATCTATTTTTTTTTTTAAGTTGAAAGCGGCCTGCTTCACTGATGACAGCATGTTCCACCAGTGAACAACTGGCTCCCAGTTGTTGGCAGTAAAAAACAGAAAAACACTTGAACTGTTTGTAAAAGCCTGTCATGATTCAATTTTGGAACTCATTTTTCCAAAATAAAAAAAGGATGGATTAGCATGCAGCTCTATTAAAATATTTAGAACACCATTGTTGAGTCGCATCAGTCAAAACTGCCTGTGTGAACTGAAGTAACCCCCGACAAAGACCACACATGTGCTTTGCCTTTGGGGTTGCCAATGTAAATGTTTGGTTGCCACAAAAAGTAACTCAACAGATGCCTCAGATTCTTTCTGTTTATGTGGCACAAGGCTTTGGGGGGAAAAGTGTGACATGTTTCAGATTTCACCGATTTGAAAAATGAAGGAAGGGAGAAAGGGGGGGATAAAATTGAAATAGATTGGCAGAAAGAGGGCAGCTCTCGCCTGCGTTTCACTCATGATTGCTGAACGTAAAGTGACCATTGAGATTTTGGCTGCTTCTATGAGTAGCTGCTAGCATAACTGTGTTTGACAGATGACTTAACACTGAAACTACCACAAAGGAAATCATGGGAAATACAACTTTTTTTAAAGCCAAATCCACACCAAAGCTTTCAAAAGAAGTGCATATAGTTGTTTGAATGATTAGAGGGATTCCATGGTGCACACTTGTAGATTACAAACTGGATTATCTGACCAGACATGGCGGTAATTAAAAATGTCATATTTTAAGGGTGAGACGTGCCAGTGCTGTTACAGCAGTTTCTTTTCTATCCCTCACTTAGATATGCACTAGATTGACCCAGAAGTATGCAGAAGTAGAAATGAGAAGAAAAGAGATTAACACCTGGTCAAGAACCAGCAGCCTCCCTGTGAGCAAGGCAGGCAGCTATACCACTTCAATGGAGCTTTAAAAAAAGTTTGGAGGGGGATGCTACTGCGGGGCTCAACAGCCAGATTAAAGGCAGCAGTGCTCCTTTTTCATTTTGCTTTGACAAGAAGATTGCAGACTGCAGTAAATGTATCTGTCTTTGTCCTCTTCTCATCCCAAAGGCTGTGAAGCGCTGGCTGAAGAGCAGCAGGTGGTGGGATCATATCGCACCCCAGCGTTGGAGGTTGGTGTGCAACTGGCGCACATTCCTTTCATGTATAGCATTAATTTTACAAAGAAAAGGTGTCGAATTGGTCTCGCATGAAAACTCCTGAGCAAAGCATTGTTTCTTTAAAACATCTGCTTTGCAGGCGCAACAAGTGCAAATAACTGAGTGTAAAATAAAGGAGAAAAAAATGCGCTAACACACTTCAAAGCTGTTGCTGGAATTTCGACTTTAATGAGCCAGAGGGGAGAAATGGAGGAAACACAAGGTGCATAAACACACCAGTCAGCCCAGACCAGACCTCTGAAAACCTCAGGAGATCGCAGCAGGAGGGGGAGTCGCCCACAAAGTTAAAAAAAACAGACACAGAGAGCCAAACAAGTCTCGACTGCAGCCAAACTCTTCACAACCAGGCGGCCCGCTGTCTTAGCTCAGAACAGAGCAGTTACAGTTACCTACACAAGAGTAGTGCGGACGGCAGGAAACAACAGAGTTCATGTGACTGTCTGGCAGGGAGAAAGAGACACCTCTGTTGATGCAGCAGACACAACAACAGCGCCGATCCATAACACATCGGGGTGAAAGAGAGAGAAAAGAACAACAAGAAGGGAAAGAAGTAACAACATCAAACATGTGCGGCAGGCTTTGGCAAGTGCACTTGGCAGCAAGCATGCAAGCAGGTTGATGAGCTGAGGGGGCAAACATGTTATTAAGGTAACATAATTACAGTTATAAATTTCTATGCCATCTGGAGGGTGCCGAGCAAAAGACGAAAAAAAATTGGATAGTGTTTTCTTTTTTTAATAGGACTCTGGGTGTCTCTCTCTTTTAAAAAATAAATGTACTCATTTACTTCACTCGCTCGCTCTCACCCTGCACAGCGTGACACATATTCCTTATCTTTAAAGAGGAGGAAGAGGAGAGAGAGTGAGAGACAGAAAAAAATGAGGCCTTCTGGAACAATGAACCTTTAAAGTCTCTGTTTTATGATCAACACTGAAACACTAAAGGATTCCAGTAGAAAAGATGAACTCCAACTCAGGCCTGATGCTACTTTATATAAGAGACATGATGACAGGGACAAAAAGAGAAACAGAAGTCTGTATATCATGTAAAATACATACAATCATATATTTTACATTACTAGAAACTGTACACTCAGCCACTTTAACATTAAAATATAAACAATGTGAAGTCTTCTTCCTTCACCACCTTCATGTAAATGTATTTATATTAATCATCTGGGCTATGAAAAGGACTCATTTGTTGTCCGTCACCTGTTTATTCCCTCGCTGAAAATACAACTGAACAGGCTGTAAGAAACCGGCTGAAGAATTCTGGACGTGGGCGCGTCACAGCCTGGTTTAAAGGGCCTGACTGATCTGGCCCACACAGATCCTTAATGATATCGCCTCAGTGGAGGTTTCTATGATGAATGATTGCAGTCATGGGAAATGTAGCCTACGTCTGTTTTACAGAATAACTTCTCTCTTCACTTCTAATACGCCTCTTCTTTTGCACATCAAAGTCTTTACATGTGAATCATATTGGCTGATTTGTTTGCCACTGTATGCAGTATTTGTATTATCGTTTGTTTAAGACCAGAATAAATTATAGTCGGATCATATCCATGACGGTAAAATTAATCTGCAGCTATTTTGTTAATAATCAAATATTTCACAGCAGATTCTTACAAAATGAAAAAGGTGAA